GCTGTTGAAGCGCTAGGACTCCGCGTGGATATAGGGTTTACACTGAATCTTCCGGGGACTAGGGTTTGGGGTTTGGGGTTTAGGGTTTGGGGTTTAGGGTTTTAGTGTTTGGGGTTTAGGGTTTGGGGTTTAGGGTGTAGGGGGGGGAGAGAATCTTGAGAAAAGCAGTGCAAAGAACAGCCGGGGATCAAGGGACTCAAGGAGAGACCCTTAAAGGGACCCTTGGGGTTATATAGCGGCTTTATGTGACTATATAAGGGGTATCTAAGGGTTATATTGGGGTATTAGGATTAGGGGTCCCTTCTAGAAGGCGTTGCGGCCCGAACACAGGTAGCCGAGCATCGCCAATCGGCGTGGCTCCAGCTTCTGTGTGCTCCCCAACCCTAGCTAGGTGTTTCTAGCGACGCCATTGCTGCTGGAGGCGGCGTGGCATCAGGGAGGCGCGCTCCCTGCCCCTGGGAAAGGGGGATCTCGGCTGTCGCTGCGATTTGCTTCGCCGACAGCGTGGTTGTCCTTTGACGGGCACCTCGGCTGTGCTGTCGCTGCAATTTGATTTGCCGACAGCGACTGACGTGAGAAGTGGCTTTTCATTTATGCAGCGGCCTCTTCCCTACCTCCTTTTGGTGCCTTTGGTTTTCGTGGGATTGAGTCTGATCTGCTGGGGCAACGGAGCCCCTGACAACCACGGGCAGACCGCAGCGTCTCCCGTCTCCAAGCTGGCATCGACGCCAGCGAAGGGCGCGCTCAAAAGCGCGCAAAAGACTTCATTTGGGTCAAGAGCTGCCGGGCGACCGGGCCCTCCTGGAGGCTCATCACGGCAGCATGGCGCCGAAGCCCGCAGACAAGATCAATCCCAAGGCACCCGGCAAGGGGAAAAGCAAAGGTGGAGACATGCCACAAGCTTCAAAGATCGAATTCGCCTTACCATCCGCGATGGTCACCTGCTTACAAGCAATTACTTCCAGATCTACGCAAGATCTGTGGACGTCACCAACAGCGGTTCCTACAGATCTTTCGGTCGAACAGCAAGCTCAAAGAAGAGCCTCAGCCGTGGGCAAACTTTCCAAGCGCATCAATGGAGACCTTCGTGCAAAAGAAGAACTTCGCACGGCCCTTCAGACGTGGATGAGTACTATTGGTTTGCACCTAGCCGGCCTGGCTCAGAGAGTTCGGGCACTCGGAGACAAAGTGGATGTGGATCTTGCCGAGGCGTGCCGCGAAATGCAGGCAGCCCTAGCAGCACAGCCATCCCTGGCTACGTCGGAGCAGGTTGCCACCGCTATCGATGCTATCGGCAAGCCTATTTGGTCGTTGCCTCAGGAGCAAGAAACCCTCCGCCTGGCCGCCTCTCTTCGTGCATTCAGTGTTGTGGAGGTGCCCGCCAGAGGAACCGATGTGCTATCGGAGGTCAGTTTTGGGGCGGCAGGTCTCGGTCCGTTTGGTTCGGCAGACTCCGTCATGAATGGCGCCGGTGCAGCGGCCCAGATATTCGACGGGGGCGAGAGCGGAAGGCTACTTCATACTGG